TTATGCTCCACATGCACATGGTGATCTCTCTAGGCTTCGATAAAACCAAAATAGATGAATGCCATTACTCACCTTCCTCTACTTCTCTTCTTTTCCTTGTGATACCCAACCAACCAGACATTGAACATAATATTCATCTCCAACTACCACTGCGTCTTGCATCTTGCATCTTGTGATACCCCTCGTTTGTACTTCACCCCTCCTCGTCGCAGCCTCCGTCATCGAGTTTTAATAAAATTTTATTATCTCACATTCGCTACTGCATTCTAGAATATTACACCTTGCTCTAGCTATAGATTCTATCCCGCATGCTGTCTTGATCGGTCCATATCCCTAACTATGTCGATTATCGACGAGAAGCGCGCCGAACGCGCTGGGGAAGCGCCTCCAGTACTTCCCCCTCGCCGTACATCCTTTAGTGAAGCGCCCGAGGTAGTGGTAAACGATACGCTCAGTTCTGGCCTTGTACCCGTAGAAGCCGAGCTTGGTGCAGAAGATGATGTCCCCCCAGCCTATAGCGAAATGCATGACCAGTTCTCTCTCCACCAAACAGGTTTTGACGCTGGAGCTGCTGTTACTGGTACGTCTTAGCTTCTTGGTTGCTCTATGGTACTTCGACAGCTAACTTAGACGCTTGATTGTAGACGACGGCCGAGTAAATATCAACATCAATCAGACGAGCCGGCATCTAGCCGATTTCATAGCGCCCGCCTTGCGTAATCAGTTACGAGAGAGTGTCGATCTTGCCGCTGCATCTACTCTTCCGCCAGCTTATATCCCGCCCAGCCTAGGTGGCCAAGCCGGTCAGACTCCTCCGCCTCGATTAAATGTTGTGATACAGATCGTGGGATCACGTGGCGATGTTCAACCGTTCGTTGCCTTGGGACAGGTCCTGAAGAACACATATGGCCATCGTGTTAGGGTGGCTACGCATTCTACCTTTCAGAAGTTTGTTGAAGAGAACGGCCTCGAATTCTTCAATATTGGAGGCGATCCTGCCGAGCTTATGGCCTTCATGGTGAAGAATCCAGGATTGATGCCGGGCATTGATGCGCTGAAGAGTGGAGAGATTACCAAGAGAAGAAAGGGCATTGAAGAGATTGTTCTTGGCTGTTGGAGATCTTGCATAGAAACCGGAGATGGCCTCGGACCCCCACCGCGCTTCGACCGCCGAAGTAATGACGACGACGAGCAAATTCCTTCAGCGTTGGTGACAGGTTCGGGTCATAAGCCGTTTGTTGCGGACGCTATCATCGCGAATCCTCCAAGTTTCGCACATATACACGTTGCCGAAAAACTTGGTGTACCCTTGCACCTAATGTTCACGTAAGTCTTCAACCCTAAACTCCTTATAAAGGCATGTCCTTAACTCCTACCAGCATGCCATGGTCCCCCACAAGAGCATTTCCGCAACCCCTGGCGAATATCCAGTCATCAAATACAGACCCAGTTACGACGAACTACGTTTCTTATGCACTGGTTGAGATGATGACATGGCAAGGACTCGGAGACGTGATCAATCGGTTCCGAACAAAGATCCTTGATCTCGAACCCCTTTCTCTAATGTGGGCACCCGGTGTATTGACTCGTCTCCGGATTCCCTACACGTACTGCTGGTGAGTAACAATCGCTACGTTGAATAGCGTGTAACGTAAATCTTACATGAATATTACAGGTCCCCGGCTCTTATTACGAAACCAAACGACTGGGGTCAACATATTGATATCGCTGGCTTCTTCTTTCTAAATTTAGCATCGTCTTATACGCCAGCTCCCGAGTTAGCTGCGTTTCTTGAGGCGGGCCCGCCTCCCGTGTATATAGGATTTGGCTCTATCGTTGTGGATGATCCGAATGGTCTAACGCGAATGATTTTTGATGCGGTGGCAGAAACAGGTGTTCGCGCCCTTGTTTCTAAGGGTTGGGGTGGGCTGGGAGCTGACTCAGTTGGTATTCCGGAGGGAGTATTCATGCTTGGAAATTGTCCTCACGATTGGCTTTTCCAACACGTTTCTGCTGTCTGCCATCACGGAGGTGCCGGAACTACGGCAGCGGGAATCAACGCTGGCAAGCCTACCATCGTCGTACCATTCTTCGGAGATCAGCCATTTTGGGGTGCCATGGTTGCGAGGGCGGGTGCAGGACCGGATCCCATCCCGTATAAAAAATTAACTGCAGCGGGGCTGGCTGAAGCAATCCGAATGGCACTGAAACCGGAGACTCAAGAGCGAGCCCGCGAATTAGGTCAGAAGATAAGGGAAGAAAGGGGTACGGACGTCGGGGCTCAGAGCTTCCACAAGCACCTCGATGTCGATAGGCTCCGTTGTGCGCTGGCTCCCAGCCGGGTTGCTGTGTGGCGTCTTCGACGAACCCAAGTCCACCTCAGTTCGTTCGCTGCCGCAACTCTCGTTAACAACGGGTATCTCAAGTATTCAGACCTGAAATTGTAAGTATGATTGGTTGTTGCTTGTGATATGACTATCACTTGGACTGGCTAACATTTCCCTCCAGTTTCCGAGCAAGTGAGTACAGTACTGAGGATCACCCAACTGATCCCATATCAGCATGCTCTATGGCACTCTTGGGAGACTTCAGCACTATCGCTATGTCCGCAGCAGATATCCCTCGAGATATCTTCAAAGCGGCCACATACCGTCTGACGACAAAGTCGAGCGAGAAGGCCGGTGATGATTCAACGACGGTTGCATCGAATGATACCAACAGCGTTGCACCCAATCCTATGGGTAAAGGCGACTCGACCACGACATTGATGACCACAACCTCAGATACAGCTAGTATCGCTCCTAATCCACTCGGCATGAACCCACCCAACACGAACCCGCTTGGTATGAGGTCTGAAAACAGTAGTCTACCTAACTTGGCGCCTACTGCCTCGGCTGCCTCAGCACATTCGAGGTCCCCATCGGAACCGCCATCAACTCCTGGCCATCGTCGCACTGCCTCGATACAAAGAGCAGGGACCGCGTCCCCCAACACCTTGAATGAGAATTTGGAGAAAGCTCTTGGTGCTGGCAAAAGCATTAATAACATCGTGGCGACTGGTATGAAATCGCCCATGAATTTTTGCCTAGGGCTCGCAAGAGGCTTCAGGAACGTGCCAATGTTATACAATGATGACACTGTTCGCCCTGTAGAGAAGGTCACCGGATTTGGCTCTGGTCTCAAGGTTGCCGGCAAGGAATTTGGCTTCGGTATCTACGATGGGATCACTGGGCTGGTAACTCAGCCTATCAGAGGCGCGGAGAAAGACGGAGGTATCGGGCTGTTGAAAGGGTTTGGCAGGGGCATTGGAGGAGCTTTTCTGAAGCCCGCAGCAGGTAAGCTGCACTTTTATCAAATATCAATATGACCGAGCACACTAACAGTCACAATAGCCCTGTGGTCCCTCCCAGCATACACGATGCAGGGTGTCCACGCCGAGATCCGGACTCTATTTGCTCAGAGTGCTCATAAATACATCATCGCATCGCGCATTGCCCAAGGCCAGGATGATTTTAATAACGCATCGCCCGAAGAGCGTGAGGACATTGAGGTTCGTTGGCTCTCTCAGAAGGAGCAGATGAAGGGGTTCTATTCCTGGAAGCAGAAGGAGAAAGGAAAGACTAGGGATGTTTCTCCTGCTCCCCCAGAACATGGGTCGGTTATCACGGAGAGCATTGTTAGCAACGAGCAACCGAGGACAGGTTGGCTTCACACAAGGCACCTGCCCTTCGAAGAACGGAAAAGGCTACAAGAACAGAAGAAACTATGGAGGAAAAAACGAGCCGAGATCGCAGCGACGGGTGGGACGTTTATCGAAGAGGCGCCTCCTGGCTCTAGCACCGACGGTACACGCGAGCAGGACGAGGAGTTCGAGCAAGCAATTCTCACCGCAGTACGGGAAACTTCTAGGGGAGACGCAGTCGAAGATGCTCGAGTCGAACAGGCAATTCGATCAAGTGTTAGGGCGCTCAGAGGCAGGTCTACAACTATAGAGTCGTTCAACTCTACCTCTTCCCGAGGTTCAAGTGCGCAAGATTCGGGGTACATCTCTCTTTCCTCAGGATACGTCCCAGATATCAAGCGTCCGCTACTAGAGGAAGACGAAACCGAGGCCCCACCGCTACCACCCCGATTCTCTCGAGAAATACCCGCGGATCTAATGGATATCACCGATGAAGAATTCCAGGCGCTGATAGAGCAGGCGGTTCAGCTTAGCATGACTGAGCAGCAACCGAAAGGAATTCGCAGACACGATCTGGATGATAGCGAGGAAGACGAGGAATTCAAGATGGCTCTCGAGAGATCGCAGACCGAGCGTAGCGGAGGAGACGAGGATGACGAGGACTATAAGAAGGCAATCGAAGCATCGGAAGCGGAGCAGCAAACTGAAGGCGTCACCGAAGAGGAAGAGCTTAGAAAGGCCATCGAGGCTTCTCAGGTGGAGCAGATAGGCGGCGGTGGTGACGATGACGAAGAGCTCCGCCGCGCCATCGAGGAATCTGAGAGAGCACACAAGGAGGAGCTAGCACGGGCCAACTCCCTGCAGAATGAAGAGGACATCATGATGGAGTACGTTAAGAAGCAGAGCCTCGCGGAAGAAGAGTTCCGGAAATCCAAGGGCAAGCAGAGGGATGATGACGATGACGAACTTAACGAGGAGCTAAGGCGTGCCCTCGAGGAGAGCATACGGACGGAGAACGGCGTGGGCCGCGGAGGTGGTGGTGGCCCCTCGCGGTTCTAGGCTTAATTGGTCGAGGCGATGCCAGCATGGGTGAGAATGAAACATGAAGATGAAAGCATACGTACGATATTGATACCCTTTACTTGATTAGCAGCAGCAGCATCGGCAAATAGTATTTGATTATGATGGCATTAGCAATTCTTTCTAAGGAAATAGTAATAATGCTAGCTAATTAATTGACATATGTAAGTGAACATGAAATGTGATGAAAAGATTTGCATCCATATTCCTGTGATACAGGGAAAAAAGCAAAAAATGAGGACCCGGGCGGGATTCGAACCCACACCTTTTAAATCTTAATGCGACGTATCTCAACTGAAGGTCGGAGGACCCAGGAGTGCGTGCTAAGCGCGTGCTACCATTGCACGACCGGGCCTTTGCTCGTGAGTTGTTGCTAAATCGGTTCGCAATTGGGAATTATATGTTGCTTGTGGAGGTTTCTAGGGAAGGCGCCATGGCAGCGCCGTGGTAACGGGGATTTTAATCGGGCAGGTACGGGACGCCTGGGCGCGTTCTTGCTTCACGTGTTTCTACTTTGAACTTCGCAATGTCCCTGGGTACTAATCTATGTACCTAGGTACGTATACCTAGTCATATGTACTATGTCTTATTCGGTGCCGGATACATAATTCGAGCCAGATTATTTACTCAATTTCATCATCATACGCATCGTTTACTACAATCGGGGAACTGCAGTGTTCTAGCCATGAGCTAGGTTGGTACTATGTAATATTGCATGAAGCAAGGGTTACACAACGTTGGAGTTACCCAGGTACATAGGTAGGGCTGAATGCACATTCCAACGGCCTGGGCTGGTATAAAAGTGTGAACAAGACCATGAACCCCGGGAGGTCTGGTAGTTGGAGTAAGCAGCGGCTCTAGCCGGAGATACCGGGATAGTTACATCATCATACTTGCCGTATACAAAGCTGGATCCGATCCGATTAGATCGTGAGCGTCAGCAGCAATGGGTGTGGTATCGCGATTCACCGTGGGATAGGCCAGAACTCGCTGTCGTCGTGAAAATGAAGCCTAGGTATTCACGACTGGGCAGTGTGGTGATGAGGTGATGACGATGAGTCATAGAGTTAGCTGCCACACCTGGGCGAGGCTGGGAAAAAGAAAATCTCATCGCACTCCTCTCCTCCGCGTCGACTACCTAGTCGGGGATGAACTTTAGAGACGGGATCCGCGCAGCTGGGTGCGGCTATTGCGTCATTGAAGATTATCACTGGCGTAATTGCAGTCGTTTTTGTCATTTATGATATAGTGATGGAGAGTCGTCGTCGCGGGACTGGTGTGATTGAATCGGATCGGAATGGCTGATTACCTACCCAGGCTGGTGGTGATGTGTGGTGGTGATGTGAGTGATGACGTTGAGGTGCTTAGGAGTACGAGAGATTTGGCTCTCTTGAAGAAGATAGATGGCAGAAAGGGGATATACCGTTGAGTATAAGACTCGGGTCGCCGCCCTGAGTTAGATCCAGATTCAATCCTTAGACGACACCAGAATCAGACACAATCAAGATTCTATTCATTCTACTAGACTTCTGCAAGATTACACTAGAGATCACCACACTATTTCAACATACCAAAATGCCTATGTACGACATTGAGAACCCGCCCCCGTCGCCATCCATCGCGGATGAGCCGTACGACCCGCCCACCAGTGCCAAGGGCGAAGAAGCCCCTGTGCAGTCGGACCGTGTCGACGAGGAGACAGGCGATACGGAGCTGAAGCTCGGTATATTATGCTACCCTTCCTCCTCCCCCCTTCTCTCTTATTTCTCACTCACTTACGATCGACCGATCTACCCCTTCAAGCTGACACAAGGACAATAGGTCGCGATGACAAGGAGGCCATCGACACCTCCAACATTATCCCCGAGCGCACGCGCCACGCAGACCCCCTCGCCGGCACCTACCGCGAGCCGGGCGAGGACGAGGGGTTGCCGCTCGAAGAGCTTGTGGTTGAGGACGAGAACAGTGCTGGTGATGTGGACGCGGACCCGGACGTGGGGACAGACGCAAAGGCAGAGACTGCTGATGCTTAGACACTGAGCTACTACACTTGCTTGATCGGCGAATTGGATCTTGGAGGTTGGCGGATTCGGGGGTTGAGAAATGTCAAAGTACAGCAGATTGTGTGGGAGGCATGGGAAATTGATTGGTCGATCGTTCATTTGAAAATGCTATCGCGTAGAACATCAATTGATCGTTTATGAATTATTTCGGTTTAGTTTACTGGTATCAAATCTTGTGTGCTGTCCACTGTCTACTGTTTATGGCAAATACGCTCCCTATGAATGTTGACGACAATGGTGGCTGGCAATAAACACCACGAAAAGGGGCGAGTTTGGACATCGGGGGCCTTGATACGATGAAGTGGAATCTATAGACTTGTATTGATGCGATTAAGTATCAGCTCACACATCATACTCTATATTATGGAATGTACAGTGATGTTACAAGGCAGCAACCCGACTACTTGGCCGATGCTCCAAAGATATGATAGGTCTTCTCCTGTTCCGGCGTGATCTTTGCTGGACTCCCAACAAACAGGTCCTCCCCCTTATTGGATTTCGGGAACGCAATGACATCCCTGACAGACTGAAGGTCGAGCAACACCGTTAAGAAGCGGTCGAAACCCAAGGCGAAGCCGGCGTGCGGTGGACATCCCGCTCTTAGAGCGTCGAGGAGGTGCGAAAACTCGGCCACGCCCTTGTCAGACATCTTGAGGATGTCCCGCATGATGTATTCTTGGACTTCAGCGACGTGGATACGACGGCTTCCGCCACCGACTTCTACGCCGTTGATGACAAGGTCATAATGGTCGGCAATCGCTTCGAGGGGTTTGGTTTCCAGCAGGCGAAAGTCCGCGAGGGTCAGAGGTGCCGTGAACGGATGGTGAGTTGAGGAGAATCCAGCAGCGCCACCTTGGCCAGGCTCATCCTCATTCGGCGTGAAGAGGGGGAAGCTATGCACCCAGAGTGCTCTGAATGAGTACTCCTTAGGTATGAAGCCCTGCTGTACAGCACTTTCGTGGATGGCGGTGCGAAGCCTGCCGAGTTCAGTAGAGCCTCCATAGAATGGTTCATTCTTCCGCGCATGCATGATGATGATGTCGCCGTCCTCACATCTAGGCCAAGACTCCGTTTCCATATCCTCAACTAGTTGGGCAGCCTCGTGTCCCAGAGCTGATAAGCCGTTGAGAGGCTTGCTGGAGTCATATACGAATACAGCTGGCGTACTCGTTTTACCCAGTTTGATCGTGGTGTTGGGGAGAAGGTCCATGAACTTCCGAATGAATTTCCCGGCATCACGAGGCGATAAACCCAAACGGAATTTGCAGGCTTGTACCATTGGGTTTTCCAGGCTTGTAATCATCCCGAGGAATTCTGGTGGAAGTTTACCGTCTCCGTCCATGCGATGTATCTGTTTATATCGGTTAGTAGAATGATGATTACTACCAATTGGCTGAACCTACATTTGACGCATGTGGTGCTCGAATCCGTAGGTCCGGTTTGTCGGTCCCAAAACGCGCCATCGCATCTTTATACGTAATAGAATCTGAGAACCCGACGCTAGGATATCTGTCGGAAAGTTGTGGTTTATGTTTCGTATCAGTGTCTCCTTGGTTGTGAATACGAACTGGATGTCGCGTGCCGTTGATCTCGATCGGGGTGTAATTCGTGTGAATGAATTCATGGACGGCTTCTACTAGGGTCTCAACCACCTTCGCCACATCTTTACCGGTCGCAAAGGCCATCTCCAAATCCAGTTGGGTGAACTCGGGTTGCCTATCGGCACGATGGTCCTCGTCGCGGAAGCACTTAGCGAATTGGAAATATCTCATTACACCTCCGGCCATAAGAATCTGTTTATACTGCTGTGGGCTCTGCGGCAATGCGTACGCATAACCCCGTCGCCTTGTTGGGACTAGGAATTCTCGAGCACCCTCCGGAGTAGACTTGAAGAGAACTGGGGTTTCGTACTGGAAGAATTGCTTCTGAGCCAGTCTTTTCTCGAGTAGACGTCGGATTTCGTCACGGAACTTCAGTCTCTCTCGGAGAAGAGGGTCAAATCGTAGCTGTAAATGGCGTGATTTCGGCGGCCACACGGCATCCTTGGAGACGACGATGTCCTTCGGGAATGAGTTTAAGCATTGTATGGAATACAATCTGAGGTCCCACTTCTTTGAATGTTCATATAACGGGCTGGGCGTATTTCGCTGAGACTCTTCCAGAATGCCCGTCACAGTGACTGGACTATAAGCTGGAATACCCTTCAGGTCACGGTGAGCAAGATTTTGCTTCGAGTTCCTTTCCTTTCCGGCTGATACGATTTGGACATGTATCCCTGGATATTTGGTTTCTATATCACAGAAGCTTAAGCCGGGGCCCATGTCCTTGCGTTTCCCCATGAAGCCGTGCAAAGTAACTTGTTTTCCAGGGGCGAACTTCTCCTGAGGCGTAGCCTGACCCAGGTCGCAAACTTGATAGGTATTGCTTAGAGATATTTCAATATGACCGATTGGTATTTTATCTTACAGCAATGTCTGAAAGTATTCCGTAAGGCATCATCGCCTACTGGTAGATCCTCCTCATCTTGTGATTCTAGGGGGCCAGAAACAACCTCGTAAATGGGTTTGGAACGCTTCCTGGGGTTCCTGCCTCGTGACCGCCACCAGATAGACCGGCATTGGCGCGGTAAAGACTGCGTTTTAATGGCCGGAACACATCTTAGGGCGTTTCTATGTAACGAAGCCGATATTAACCAAACCATTAAGTCTTTATTTGAGTCTCCGAGGCTGAGGTACTGTAGCTAGTGTTTAAAGTGAGAGGTTCTAACAACATACGACCAACCATCACTAAAATATCAACGTCGATTCTTAGCTGCAGTACAGTACAGTAGAAATACCTGAGTAATTACTCCGATAAGATTCTTAGCTGCAGATCCACACTTGCGGGACCTGGAAAGTTTGACAGGGGTCCGAGTATGTACCTACATATGTACTTAAGTAGCAGAAACTAAGCGGATAATTACGGTTCCGCTCCGGCGCAAAATTCCCATTTCTAGGGAAGCTTTCGGCCGATGCTTTGGAAGTTTTCTTTTCCTTTCTTCTTCATCCTTCCAATTCAAATAAAAGTGAGTCCTCTCAATCCACCATCCGCTGCGATTTATTCTGTGTACTCCCGTATTGGACATGCTGCTAACCTTGACTTTTACAGATGATGAAAGCTGCGTGTACCATATGATGTGTTCCTCTTCTCGGAGCTTTAGAACTCTCCCCTCTGGGGCTCAAGTGGTTCTATTGTGACGCCAGGATGGAATCATGAAATAAGCGTTCGACACACCTCGACCTTGTTTACATCG